AATGCATGAAACACCTTATTTGTGCTTAGAATTTGTTTCTGTGTTCTTATATCTTACTGAATGATGTCTGATGTGTGTTTTTTATACCTACCATTAAGGTGTATCCATCACAAGACTGCTCTCCAAAATGTATCGTCTGCTACAAGCAGCCATCTTACATTGCTCAAGGGAGATAATTCCAATACTACTTGCAAAAGAACTTATCTCATTTAGCAATCATAATTGACCATTAAACGGCCAAAACACATATGTGCATATTTTTACTGTATATTTGTGAAAATGCATGGCTCTAAATCAATAAACATTGTTAAACATAATTAAATGGATAAATAATGTATTCATCATGTTACATTGTGTTTACTATTTTATAAATAACAAAATGTAGTACGTTTATTTAAATAGGAATAGTTTTGATATTAACAGCTAAAACATTCAATAACACATAACATGGAATTGTTTAATCCCCAATTGAATTGAACTGAACAAATAATACTGACATTGTGTTGTGAAAACAAGAAAAATTCTTTAAAAAATGTATTTTGGGCGGCCATCTTGGATTTTTATCACCACCAGGTGGTGCTGCGTATTAAATTAGGAATATATAGAGTAATGTTAAGAATAATCCTGAAAGAAAATACTGAATATGATAAGATAATTATGATATGTTGAGCACAGACTGACATCATTAGAGATTTCCCAGTACCTCATCCACAATATTAGCTTCCGTGGCCAACAGGCCATTTGCTGCTGGCCTACACGTGGCTTTGCTTTTAACTGCACTGTAAAGATTTAGATATACTAGTTTTACTTAATTAGTGAGTGAGTTTTGTTTTACGCCGCACTCAGCACTATTCCAGCTATATGGTTGCGGTCTGTAAATAATCGAATCTGGACCAGACAATCCAGTGACCAACAGCATGAGCATCGATCTGCGCAATTGGGAACCGATGACATGTGTCACCCAAGCCAGCGAGCCTGACCACCTGATCCCGTTAGTCGCCTCTTAAGACAACATTGGTTACTGAAGATCAATTCTATTCCGGACTTTCACGGGTGACTTAACTCAGGAATACACGAACGTATCTATACTCCCCTTTAAAACCTACATCCCGCCAAATTGCTAACGATAATTGTCAAAAACTCTGAGATTGATTTACTATACAGTGGACTCTGAATTATCCGACAATCTGTGTATTCCGACATATATTTTTGGGCCCCGGCAGCGTTCTTCTATATTATCATCAAATTAATATTGAATTATTTGACATCTGTACATTCCCACACCATTTTCTGGTAACAATGACACTATCACGCTGTACAATCCGACACCCTCTCCCCATATTAGACTAAAATAGCCAATCAACCTGTCAATGGCTACAATGGAGGACTTTTTAATGAAAGTGTGAATATGATTGTGATTGGGTAGTCAGCATGGTATGTACATTGTACTGAAGAGAATAAATACCAATGATACATGTGTATGTAAATACTGATTTTGTTTTTTCCATTTATTCGCCAAGTAAATAGCTATCAAACATTTATTTCTTGAAGCCAGTTGCAATGTATGGTACTGTTTGAAAAGCATTCAAGCAACGAGACAGTGAATTATCCGATACGCTGTATAATCCGACATTTTCCCCCGGTCCCAGTGAGTGTCGGATTATACAGCTTCCACTGTACCTACTGAAATTATTTTGGTGTGCAATGTATTGTTTACTTATTTATAGATAGAAGAAGAAAAGTATTCTAGAACTTTTCGTATATAATGATATTTTCCTTTCTTGATAAGCAACCACCATTCTTAAAAGTAGACCCTTCAGAGATCGATTTCCCATAAGATTAGGCAGATCGATCAGGCACCGCAAGAGCCCAAATCTATTCTGATGAACTCTTATAGCCTACAGAATTCTCAGGATCTTGACACGGACAAGTATCACAGTTTGGAATATGTCATCTCTCATTGTGCTTTTGGATGAGCTATTTCAGTAGAATGGACGGTTTTACGAATGCGTTTATCTCACATACTATTTTTTCACATTTTTTTATTCTCTTCACTTGGATACACTTTGTATGAAACAATCCGTGGACATAGTTTTGTAATGATATATAATGAGAAATGGCATGTCACTTTGTTTCAATTTCACTGGGAAATAAATGTGTAAAACTGGAAAAACACGCAGATACACTTGAGTAGAACTATTTCATTGTCATAATCACAGAATATTTTGGAGCCTACTCCATTTTCTCTCAAATAAATTATTATTGAAATTGTTTCTGGCAATATATTTCTCAATGTCATATACATCTTTTAATAACCCTTTATATGTGGTGAAACTTGATTTCACACCCTTGATATTCCTGACAAAAATGTGGCGCTTGGCTAGTATGATCATATGGTTGAGCAAGGGGTCGCTATTGGCACAAAATAGTATATCTTGAGCTGAGAGTACGAATGTCCTGATCAGGACACAATTAACAAAACCGGTGAATTCTTTCCAGAATAATCTAATGGTGGGACTTTCAATATATACATGATAAATATTCTCACTTACGTCACATGATATGCATATATGTCATTATCAACTAGTTTCATTTTAATGTATAAATTACTCTATGAATAAATTTGTATTGAAAATCTAAAAGCTTTGGGTCTTTAATGGTTAGTCTATATTGCACAAATATGGTCTTAAAATCGATATGATCGTTTACTTCACTTTCCCATTTATCGCATACGTTTGGTAAATTGGATTTCGATATGAAACTATCGTAAACTGATCTAGATCCTTTAGTAGGTTTAATAAGATCATTCCAAGGGGAACTTATCGATACCTTTGTTATGTTTGAGTGTCCAGCACTTTGAATGACTTCTTTCCATTTTGGGGGAATACTGACGATGACACGATTTATGTCAAGTACTGTGCCCTTAATATCAAATTTTGTTTTAAGGTCTGCAAATGAGAGTACCTGTTAGTCATTGAAAATGTCTTTAATATTAACAATATCCTTGTTTGAACCAGTTATTGATTATCAAATATGTGTTGCGAAACTGGTGATTTAACCAGAGAGATTGCATAACAATTTCGTTTATGTTGATATGATTCACTACATATCCCTTTATATATCTATGTCAGGCATCAAGAGCATCCTTATCTCACTTACTTCCCGCTTTCTTATTATCGAATCCTAAGAATGGATCAACATACCCGCTTTTCTACATATCGCAATATCGCAATGTCGCTGCATCGCCATATCGCGTTGCCATATCGCAATATCGCCTTTTCGCGTTATCGCCATATCGCAATGTCGCGTCTTTTTCTCGCCATTTTGTGTCGTGTTATCGTCATTTCGTGTCGTATTATCGCCATTTCGTGTCGTGTTATCGCAATGTCGTGTCGAGTTGTTGCCATTTCGTGTTGCGTTATCGCTATATCGTGTCTTGTTATCGTCATGTCGTGTCGTGATATCGCTATTTCATTTTTGGCTATATCGCAATATCGCTATATCGTGTCGCCATATCGCAATGTCGTGTCGTACTATCGTTTGTCGCGATATCGCATAGATTTCTTCAGGGCGATAAAGCGATGGCCCGAATGAGCCACCATAACGTAGTATTACCAAAAATAACCAAGTCCAGCTAACATGACGTCACGTGATGGTGCATGTCAACTCAAGAAACAGAAACTTCGTGGCAGGTTTGAGTACCCCGGCCCCCCATCAAGTGTTAATCAAACAATCAAACTCACACAGCATTTGCGAATTAAAATTACATTTACATTTGAATCTATTGCTGCAGTTAGAGAAAGTACATGTATAGCCAGTATGTAGGTTAAACCCTAAAACAACAGCGTGCACTCACTCACTCACTCACTACATACCTAGGGAAATGATCCACAGGGCTGTTCTCCAGCTGGCCATGGCTGAGGCTGTGTGGACGGAGATCGCTGGCGTGTAGGTGAGGACTGACTATGTCAACTATGACAGTTTGACAGTAGAATTCATATATCAAGAATCCGCTTTGTAGGGCGTTTATTTGATTTGTGCACCACATTATAATAGGTATATCAGAACCGGAGGAAAATTTCCAATTCCCTATTCATAGTGGTTCTATTGATATTATTCCGACATGTTGGCAGCGCGCCGATGTACCGCGTTTGTCTGGCTTCTTTATATCGTTGAATAGTTGGACATGGGACCGTGCCAGTGGCACCGTAAACCACCAGCCTTTAAATCACTGGTCTCACTGGAACGTCTCTCCTTCCTCGCCACCTATATGCTGGCTGTTTATATATATACATATATACGCAGTGGCGTGGAAGTTGTTAGCCTTGTAAGAGTAATCCAGCATTGTAAAACATTTCAACTTCCGAAGTAGGCAAGTATCTACCTTTCATCTCACCTGACATCAACAGCAATGGTGGACTGAAGATCGCTGTTTTCACCCTTGGTATCCAGCCTTGACGTATTTTCGAAGCTTATCCACTTTTTCGGCCCATATTTTATCACTAACGTTTTTGTTATGTCACAGTTATTGTGTATTGTCACGGTAACTGTACCACAGTTTAGCTTATAAACATTAAATTGGTATTTTCGTGGAACAAGCCCACGACAAACAAATATACATTTTCGATAGTTTTGAATATACAGTATAACAGCTGACTGATAATACAGAATTATCGGCCATATTGCAGGGGAAGGAAGAATATAGTTATTGTATGTAGCTAGCGTTAGGGTTAAGGTTAGGGTTAGGGTTAGGAGTTAGGGTTAGGGTTAGGGTTAGCTAGGGTTAGGGGCCTAGTGTTAGGGGGTGTACAGTTCTGGGGTGGGGTGTGTGTGTGTTGGGGTGGAGGGTGTGTGTGTGTGTTAGGGTTCAGAAACTTGGGTTGTTCGAGTGTCAATTTTGAAAACCGAACAGACGGGTATACCCGTGCGTGTACTCCCCTGCATGGCCCGTCAAAGACGTAACTGTTTTCATCACATGCTAAAAGCATTCTTTTGTGAAATTTGGTGGTCCTGAAAAGGACCGTTGTGAGTGTTGGTGAAAACAAAGTTTTCAACCTCCGAATCCGTAGAGGGTACGTCCCTGGCGTTTCAAAGCGTAGACGACATCCATGGCAGTGACTGTCTTCCTCTTAGCATGCTCGGTGTAGGTGACGGCATCACGGATGACATTCTCAAGGAAAACCTTAGAGTACACCACGGGTCTCTTCGTAGATCAGACCAGAGATACGCTTTACACCACCTCTTCTTGCCAGACGACGGATGGCGGGCTTGGTGATACCCTGGATGTTATCACGCAAAACCTTCCTGTGACGCTTAGCGCCCCCCTTTCCAAGACCTTTACCTCCTTTACCACGACCAGACATGATTGCGCTGTGAGAAATACAGACTGAATGCCCTCGCCAGCGCAATGTGACTTTATATAGCACGCGCGCGGACCTGTGAGAAGACAACCAAGCATTACGTTTGGTGTTTTTACACTTTATACACGAAAATACATATTCGTATGTGTATATTTTTCACAGGTGGCTATTTATTACCATTTCCTATGGTATGTATAAGTTTTTAGGTGAAGGTCTCCGTTCCCAGTTGGGCGTTTTCTTTAATATCTCTTGTAGCCATCATGAGCCGACAAAACTGCTGTGCACCGTCCCGGCATGGACTGAATCTGTCATCCAGTTCAACCCATTCCTCTTGCTATGCCTGCGACAGCTGATCTAACGTCTGTGGCGCCGGCAGGTACGCGTCGGCCGAGGTCGTCCCACAAATGCTCGATGGGAATGAGGTCGGGCGATTTGGAAGGCCATGGAAACACTGTTATGTTCTCATGCTGAAGATACTGAATAGTGGCATGTGCTGCGTGAGGCCTGGCATTAACTTGCTGGAAAAACTACCTCTGACAATGACATTCATTACCTGACCCTAACATGAAATACATGCTGTTATTAAGGCAAGACTCAAAATAAAAGTACGACTTTCCTATATTCATATTATCTTTACTGTGTCTGCTGGCATATCTGCTGTACACTGAAGCTAGCCTCGTAGAATCCGGTGGCATCAGTCGGATGGAGTAAATAGTTCTACTGCTCAGTGGTGCCGGACGGTCACAGAACAAATCCTCGTCACTGCTTAACGTTTTATTATGAACCAGGTAATAGCCAATAGGGAGCTTTGAGTTTGAAGGCGCATTGCATATTTCTGGTAACCAGTGAGTGAGTAACCAGAGTGAGGTGAGTGAGGTGAGTGAGTGAGTGAGGTGAGTAGAGTGAGTGAGTGAGGAGAGTGAGTGAAGTGGATAACCTGGGAGAGGGAACTCGCCAAAGTGACTCTGTATAACCTGGGAAACAACTGTCAGGGGGTTCTCGACAATGTCTGGAGTGCTCTTTTCCTTTTCCACCGTGCGTCGCTATGGACTTTCTGTACAATTCTCCTGAGACAAATGGCCTTTTGTGTAGTATTATTGGGACAGAGGGACGCTTTGTAGAATTTTCCTGGGACAAATAGTCTTGCCTTAGAATATTTCTGCGACAGAGAAACATTTGTATATATACTGATGTACAAAAGAAAGTACAAACCTACTGTTTTGAGACTATTAAAAAACGTAAATACTTTTGCTAGCAATGTTCCAATTAGGTACGATATCTATGGTGTTATTGCAACACGTACACACTATTTATGACTTATGAGTCACAATTAAAACACTTTTCTAAATAATACGCTGTGTTAGGAAAACATTTTACCAAAGCATCATGTGTGTACTTTCTTTTGTACGTCAGTTTAGAATGTTCTTTGGACAGGGGGACCTTTTTGTGGAATTGCTCCGGATAAGTGTCTACAAAATAAGCTACGTTATAGAGACCCCATACATAAGATGACGTCAGTAGAAGTTTATTACGCACGTGACTACTGGTATACTTCAGACCCGACAACCTGACACAAAGTCTCCTCAGTGTGCGCCCATTGGCCTATAAACGATTACTTTCAGTGATTGAGCCCTCAGCATTCAGTTGAACAAAGATACAATATGATATTACCCAGGGCCAGACTAGTGAATATAGTAATGTACGTTAATGTGTGTATGATCGTGGTTCAACCTCTCGTTCATATGAATATGTTGCCCGTGGTTACTTGTCAGAGGCTAGAATGCTCATCGTAATGTTCATCGTCGTCTCTTGAGAGGACATCTTGGTAGCTGGGTTATTACAATCTGCCAATGTGTGGTTATGTTACTTGTTCTAAGTACTTGCGTCTCGTTTCAGTCGACTCTAATCGATTAAAGTTCCGTGTATGTCGGATAACTGGGATTATCCTGAATTGCTGCCGGGTGGACTGTCAAATGATTCGTCTTTCGGTTAAAACAACATTGTGGAAATGTGTATGTAACACAACAGCAGTACATTACCTTCATCAATGATAAGCCCCTGTCTGTGTTCGGTTGAATAGCTCACGTGATCAAATACTGGTTGAATACAATAGCGACAAAGCTATAATTGTTTGTAAATAAAAGCGAAAAAACACTTAGAACCATAAACAATGTACGGTTTGACTAAATGTCATGAACATCTGCTTATGAACATCTTTCAAATACTTGTTTAAGAAACAGTAAACGTATCCTGCCAAAATCGATGGCATATGTCAAAGCCAGGTTAATTGTTCACTTTGAAAATCGTTTGGAACATAATGGAACAGATCAAAGTAAGTAGAAGGCATCGGTAAGAACTTCTATGGCTGAAATGTTGGCTGACTTTGTGACATGCTCATCTCTCATTACACCCACCACGTGGCGTTATTGTGTGTGAGCGAGACCTCTTTACACCCACCACGTGACGTTATTGTGTGTCAGTGACGTAATTTGACCTCTTTACACCCACCACGTGGCTTATTGTGTGTCAGTGTGACCTCTTTACACCCACCACGTGGTTTATTGTGTGAGTGGGACGTGGCTTATTGTGTGACCTCTTTACACCCACCACGTGGCTTTATTGTGTCAGCGTGACAGCGTGGTTTATTGTGTGTGACCTCTTTACACCCACCACGTGGCTTATTGTGTGTCAGCGTGACCTCTTTACACCCACCACGTGGTTTATTGTGTGTGAGCGTGACCTCTTTACACCCACCACGTGGCTTATTGTGTGTCAGCGTGACCTCTTTACACCCACCACGTGGCTTATTGTGTGTCAGCGTGACCTCTTTACACCCACCACGTGGTTTATTGTGTGTGAGCGAGACCTCTTTACACCCACCACGTGGTTTATTGTGTGTGAGCGTGACCTCTTTACACCCACCACGTGGCTTATTGTGTGTCAGCGTGACCTCTTTACACCCACCACGTGGATTATTGTGTGTCAGCGTGACCTCTTTACACCCACCACGTGGTTTATTGTGTGTGAGGGTGACCTCTTTACACCCACCACGTGGTTTATTGGCTTATGTGAGCGTGACCTCTTTACACCCACCACGTGGTTTATTGTGTGTCAGCGTGACCTCTTTACACCCACCACGTGGTTTATTGTGTGTCAGCGTGACCTCTTTACACCCACCACGTGGTTTATTGTGTGTGAGCGTGACCTCTTTACACCCACCACGTGGCTTATTTTTTACACCCACCACGTGGCTTATTGTGTGTCAGCGTGACCTCTTTACACCCACCACGTGGCTTATTGTGTGTCAGCGTGACCTCTTTACACCCACCACGTGGCTTATTGTGTGTCAGCGTGACCTCTTTACACCCACCACGTGGCTTATTGTGTGTCAGCGTGACCTCTTTACACCCACCACGTGGTTTATTGTGTGTGAGTGTGAACTCTTTACACCCACCACGTGGTTTATTGTGTGTCAGTATGATCTCTTTACACCCACCACGTGGTTTATTGTGCGTCAGTATGATCTTTACATCCACCACGTGGCTTATTTTGTATCAGTGAGACCTCCTTACACCCACCACGTGGTTTATTGTGTGTCAGTATAATCTCTTTACACACACCACGTGGCTTATTTTGTATCAGTGAGACCTCCTTACACCCGACACGTGGCATGTTGTGTCTCAGTGTGATCTCTTTACACCCACCACGTTAGTTATAGTGTTTAAGTTTGACCTCTTTACACACAACAGGTGACATTGTGTGTTAGCGTGACCTCTTTACACCCACCACATGACTTATTGTGTGTCAACTTGACTTCTTTACACCCACCACGTGACATATTGTGTGTCAGCGAGACGTCTTTACACCCACCACGTGGCGTATTGTGTGTCAGCGTGACTTCTTTACACCCACCATGTGGCTTTTTGTGTGTCAGCGAGACCTCACTACACCCACCACGTGGCGTATTGTGTGTCAGCGAGACCTCATTACACCCACCACGTGGCTTATTGTGTGTCAGCGAGACCTCTTTACACCAATCACGTATCTTAATATGTGTCAGCGAGACCTCATTACACCAACCACGTGGCTTATTGTGTGTGAGCGAGACCTGTTTACACCCACCACATGGCTTATTGTGTGTCAGCGAGACCTCATTACACCCATCACGTATCTTAATGTGTGTCAGTTTAATTTGACCTCTTTACACCCACCACGTAGCTTATTGTGTGTCAGGGAGACCTCTTTTCACCCACCACGTGGCTTATTGTGTGTCAGCGTGACGTCATTAAAGCCACCACGTGACTAATTGTATATCAGCGTGACCTCTTTACACCCACCACATGACTTATTGTGTGTCAGCGTGATCTCTTTACACCCACCACGTGACTTATTGTGTGTCAGCGAGACCTCATTACACCCACCACGTGGCTTATTGTGTGTCAGTGTGACCTTATTACACCCACCACGTGACGTATTGTGTGTCAGCGAGACCTCATTACACCCACCACGTGACTAATTGTATATCAGCGTGACCTCTTTACACCCACCTCATGAGTTGTTGTGTGTCAGCGTGACCTGTTTACACCTACCATGTGACTGCCTGGATATTTGTTGTTTTAGCTGTCACCGTTCTTATCCGTCATAATCTCTTTGTGTCACGGGCGGTCTTGTTGCTGTAGTTCGTAATGATACACGCCCCCAAAACATGTGATCGTGGGTTGGAATCCCCGTTCTCTCACATTAAGTTTCTTGGTTTTACGGCACCATACGCGTGCTCGTGGGATTAAGTAAAGTAGTCAACTTTTCCTCAAGATGACATGACATAGTAGTCACTGACTCGTTCTTGTCGAGAGTAAAACCTGGAGCGGGATCCGTGAAGATCCCCATTGACTAATGGGATCGTGTGGTCAGGCTCGTCGACTTGGTTGATGTATGTCATTGTATCCCATTTGCGTAGATCGATGCTCATGATGTTGATCAATGAATTGTCGTGATTCGATCGTTGACAGACGGCGTGGAATAGCTGGAATATTGATGAATGCGGCGTTAAAATACAAACAATCAAAGCAAACCTGGAGCGTTTTCGCCTAAATTGAAAATCATAGCGAATAAACGC